TGAAATGCCCATAATAAAAAGTAGACAATGGCCGGGCATGGTGGCTCATGCCTGTAATCCCAGCACTTTGAGAGGCCAAGGCGGGAGGATCACTTGAGCCCCGGAGTTGAAGACCAACCCAGGCAACAAAGAGAGACCCTGTCTCTACAAACAAACAAAAAAAATTAGCTGAGTGTGGTGGCACATGGCTGTGGTCCCAGGTATTCAGGAGGCTGGGTGGGAGGCTCGCTGGAGCCCAGGAGGCAGAGGTTACAGTGAGCCAAGGTCGTGTGAATGCATTTTAGCCTGGGCGACAACACAAGACCTTATCTCAAAAAAAAAAAAAAAAAAGTAGAGAGAAAAAAAATATGTATATAACATTTTACTTAGTAATACTACCTTCAATAATTTATCGTAAAGGAATAATCAAGAAAAAATAACAAAATAAATACCAAAAAACAGAACAAAAACCAAAAACCAAAAAATTACTAGATTTTCTGAAAAATAAGTAAAAAGATTCTCATCTTAGTGTTCTTATAATAGCTAAAATTTGAATAACCTAAATTTCTAACAGTTAGAAAATAAAAACTATGGTATAACCCATGCAGTAAAATACACGCAGTCCTTAAATTGTTTTCAAAGACAATTTAATGATGTTAAAAATGGTCACAATAAAACATAAAGTGAAAAAAGCAGAATGGAAAATTTTGACTAGAAAGTTTCTATAAATATACATATGTATTTTAAGGGATAAGAATCTCACTCTGTCACCCATGCTGAAGTGTTGTGGCACCATCATAGCACATTGTGACCTCAAACTTCTGGGTTCAAGCAGTCCTTCTACCTCAGCCTCCTGGGTAGCTTGGACTACAGGCAAGCACCATCATGCCTGGCTATTTTTTTGTTATTAAAAAATAACTTTTGGGCTAGGCATGGTGACTCACACCTGTAATCCTAGTACTTTGGGAGGCTGAGGTGAGTGGATCACATGACATCAGGAGTTTGAGACCAGCCTGACCAACATGGTGAAACCCTGTCTCTACTAAAAATATAAAAAGTAGTCGGATGTGGTGGCAGGCACCTGTAATCTCAGCTGCTCAGGAGGCTGAGGTAGGAAAATCACTTGAACCCAGAAGGCAGAGGTTACAGTGAGCCAGGATCACACCACTGCATTCCAGCCTGGGCGACAGAGTGAGACTCCATCTCAAAAAATAAAAATAATAATTTTTTGTAAAGACAGTCTCACTATGTTGTCCAGGCTGGTCTCAAACTCCTGGCCTCAAGCAATCCTCCCACCTCAGCCCCCAAAGTGCTAGGATTACAGGGGTGAACTACCATGCCTGGCCCTATAAATATTTATAGATAAAAGACTTTAAGGAAATATGCTAAATTATTAATAATATTCTTTATCTCTAAGTGATAAAATTTTAGATCTTTTGATTCTTTATACTCTGTTTTTCTACAATTTTCTTTGATATACTTACCTACTTTTATTAAAACAAACAGAAGAGGGGAATGTAAATTAGTTCAACCTTTGTGGAAGACAGTGTGGCAATTCATCAAAGACCTAGAACCAGAAATACCATTTGATCCAGCAATCCCATTACTGGGTATATACCCAAAGGAATATAAATCATTCTATTATAAAGATCCATGCATGCACATGTTTATTGCAGCACTGTTCCCAATAGCAAAGACGTGAAGTCAACGCAAATGCCTATCAATGATAGACTGGTTAAAGAAAACATGGTACATGTACATCATGGAATACTGTGTAGCCATAAAAAGGGATGATAAGATGTCCTTTGCAGGGACATGGATGGAACCGGAAGCCATTATCCTCAACAAACTAATGCAGGAACAGAAAACTAAACACCACATGTTATCACTTATAAGTAGGAGCTGAACAGTGAGAACACATGGACACAGGGAGAGGAACAACACACACTGGGGCCTGTTGTGGGGAGGAGGGGAGAGCATCAGGAAAAATAGCTAATGCATGCGGGGCTCAATAGCTAGGTGATGGATTGATAAGTGCAGCAGACCACCCTGGCACATGTTTACCTATGTAACAAACCTGCACATTCTGTACATGTATCCTGGAACTTAAGAAGTATTATTTTTTAATTCAAGACATCAAAAAAAAAAAGAAGAGACTAAAAGTTTCAGGTTTAAACCTTTTGACCAAGTAATAAACCTAATATAAGGATAAGGAAATCGGCCAGGCGCAGTGGCTCACAACTGTAATCCCAGCACTGTGGAAGGCCGAGACAGGTGGATCACTGGAGGTCAGGAGTTCGAGACCAGCCAGGCCAACGTAGTGAAACCCTGTCTCTACTAAAATACAAAAATTAACCGGGTACGGTGGCGCATGCCTATAATCCCAGCTACATGGGAAGCTGAGACGAGGATCACTTGAACCCTGGAGGCAGAGGTTACAGTGAGCCAAGATCATGCCTCTGCACCTCAGCCTGGGCAACAGAGCAAGACTCAGTCTCAAAAAAGCAAGCAAACAAACAAAGGAAATAGTCAAATATGGATAAAGATTCCAAGATTCATGTTCCAGGGCATTCATTGAATTGCTGGGTTTTGTTTGTTTGTTGTTGTTGTTTGAGTTCCAGTGATTCTCCTGCCTCAGCCTCCCAAGTAGCTGGGATTACAGGCACACACCACCATGACTGGCTAATTTTTGTATTTTTGGCAAAGAAAGGGTTTCATCATGTTGGCCAGGCTGGTCTTAAACTCCTGACCTCAGGTGATCCGGCTGCCTCAGCCTCCCAAAGTGCTGGGATTACAGGTATGAGCCACCTCGCCGGGCTGAATTGCTATTTTTATTGGCAGAAAAGTTGGAAATGTCTAAGTGACCAACAAAGGAAGAATGATTAATCATGATCCATCTATATTATGCAGCTACTAAATGTTTTCAAAGTATGAAATACAGAAAATGCTCATGATATAATAAAAAGAAAGCTTGGTAAATTACATGTTCAATATGATTTCAAATACATTTTTTAAAAATGAAAGATTGGAGACAGACAAAATGTGAGCAGGTTTGGGGTGATTTTAATTTTTCTGTTTTTTATTTCTGTATTGTCTACACTGATCACATATTACTTTAGAATTTAAAAAATTTAGTCTGGTCATTGTGGTGCATGCTTGTAATCCCAGCACTTTGGGAGGCCAAGGCCGGTGGATCACCTGAGGTCAGGAGTTCAAGACCAGCCTGGCCAACATGGTGAAACCCTGTGTCTACTAAAAATACAAAAAATTAGCTGGGTGTGATAGCATGCATCTGTAATCTTAGCTACTCGGGGGACTGAAGCAGGAGAATGGCCTGAACCTGGGAGGTGGAGGTTGCAGTGAGCCGAGATTGTGCCATTACATTCCAGCCTGAGCAATAAGAATGAAGCTCCGAATCTGATTTGTATATAATGAGGGAAGCCTGTTTAGCTGTTTGTCTCCTGGCAGTGCTCACTAGTCTGGTAGCAAAATTGGGCAGTAGGGGATGGTAGTCATCTAGCATTAGATGTGCTTGGCAAAGGTTACAGGAATCCGTGTTGCTCGTCTACTTCCATGGTTGATGTGAAGATGTTTTTTATAAACTGTAAAGTTCTACACAAATAGTAGTGGTAGGTTTTGATCTATCCCCATGCCACTGTTCTAATTCAAGCCCTCATTGTTCTTACCTGAACTTATTGACTGCTCTTCCTGCCTTCACTCTCTCTCCAAATCATCTTTTACATTACTGCCCAGTTCTTTTTCTGAAGCACCGGTAAGATGGTGGTGTTTTTTTTTCCCCCCTTCAGAAACCTGCATTGGCTATCCATGTCTGAACTTTTAAGCCACAAATTTGAGGCCTTTTAAAATGTGATCTCAAACTACCTTTCTACCCTAATTTCCTACTACATCTCCATGTACTGTTTGCTCTGTCCTCATCATCCTACCTACCTTTCCCTAAATATGCAAGGCTTAGCTAACACTCTGTTCTTGCTCATGCTACATCATGTAAAACATGTGAAGGACAAAGTTTGGACTTAACAGTTAAAATGACTTGTATTACTGCTTTGATTCTGCTGTTCATAGGTGGCTATGTGGCCTTTAATATATTATTTTGACCTCTTTGAGCCTCAGGGTTTTTTTAAATTAATTTCTTCATCTTTATAATGTTAATACCTACCTCAAAGAATTGTTAGAATTCATTCAGATAATGAATACGAAAGCGTGTTGTAAGTAGATGCATAGTACACATGTATGGCATTATTTTCTACCTACGTCTGTCAGTGTGCTTTTGACCTCAAATAACAGAAATCCAACTGAAAATGGCTTAAATGATGAGGAAGCAACTCTGGAGGTAAGGCAGTTCCAGGGTTTTTTAATTAAGCAGCTCATAGCATTGTCCTACTATCTTCCTGCTTTGTATTCTTTGTTTTGTTCTTTTGGGCTTGTTATGCTCATGGTCCTAAGATGGCTGCTAATAGTCTTAGTTGTCACATGAAGACAGCAACGTTCAGGTGCAGGAAAGAAGTCCCATTAGTATGCCCCTTTTTAAGAGTGAGGAAATCTCTTTCGAAGCCTCCCCTCACCCCCCACCCCATAAACTTTGCCTGATGTCTAATTCATGGAAATTGTACCAACGCCTAACCAGTCATCACTGGGAAGGGAAATCAGCTAATCTTCATTAGCTTAGACCAATCACGATTCACCCCCTGGTACTGGCCCTGACCACTCCTGAAGGAACAGATGCTCAGGAAAAGGACAAAGTGGGGGTTTTGTTAGGGAGGGCAAAGATTACAATAGCATGATGTCTTCAGGGTTGACCCAGGTTTGTTAGGGCAAGGAGATGAAAGGAAGAAGTGCTAAGTAGTAAATCAGCATAAAGGGGAGCTTGCTTTTGGTAACTCAAGATTTCAGTCAGGCATCATACAAAATGAAGAAAGAACAGACAGGGTGGGAAGAATGTGAACCTTTGGTTTCACTAGTTTTACATTGCAGTTTCAAAGTTTATCTTTATGTCCAAGTAGGTATGCGGTGGAACTGATGAAGACCCTGATGATAAAAATGCACCCTTTCGGCAACGGCCATTTTGCAAATATAAAGGACATACTGCTGATCTCCTTGATCTTTCATGGTCTAAAGTAAGAAATTCTTGTTTGAATCGTGTATTAATTCTGTTTATAAGGAGCTGATGCTGTAGTCTCAAAGCACAGTTTCTTCTCTGGGAAATGTCAGATTTTTTATCTTACGGCCTTCAACTGATTGAATGATGATGATCATCATCGTCATCATCACTATCTGCCAAGTAGCATTTTAGGCACTGAGGACACAGATAAAAGTTAAGTACTTGACATGTGCTCTGTTCATACCCTCAAAACAACCTTATGAGATTGTCAATGTTTCCTTATAGCTACAGTTAGGGGATTTTAGGTTCAAACCGCATGACTTTGGAGCATTACTCTGTAGCCCATTCCAGTGTCACAACAGTTAATCACTACAAGGAAACAGGATGACAAAAATAACAAATGTGGTGGCATGCGCCTGTAATCTCAGCTTTTCGGGAGTATATTTTCTTTCCTGATGTTCTTTCCGTTCTATCTCTTAGGAGGCAGCAGTAATATGATTTAGTATCTATCCAGCTACCTAATTGTCTCAAGTGAGTAATGTGCATTTTTAAGGACTGGTGCCAGCGTATAAACAACCTGGTCTTCCTGGTCCCTGATGATATGAATATAGAACACCAGTCTTTGGAGGGATAAGTACAGACACCAAGAGTAAACTGTTTAGAAGTGTTTATGGCAGTTTTTCAGAATAAGCTTATGCCTGTTTAATCTTTTAAAACCTGGGCTTCTATTTTGTATAATAATACAAAATGGGGCTTATATTTTATATGCCTTTTATTTTTATTTCATTTTTGTAGTAATTGTTTTCTGTATTTTAAAATAGTTTCAGTCCACAACTCATTGGAAATTTAAAAAAAAACAAAACAAAACAGTCCTTCACCAGTCTGAGAAGCACTAGTCTAGATGAGTTATTTCAATGAGGTGCTGCCTCATACAGGAATGGTTCCTAAGGGTCTATCCTCGTATCCCCAGCCCGTCCACCCCACCCCCATCCAGAGGAAAGGAACAAAATTTCTGCAGCAAGATTATAAGCCCCTCCAGGGTAGGAACCAGATACTATTTTACTGTTTAAACACCAACTCAAACCAGATATTGTTTCTCTTTAATGTCTAGCACAGTGTTTATAGTGAGTTTTTCTCTTTGTCGAAGATGTATTTTGTTCCAATAACAAGGATTACCCTGTTAATTCTTACAGTAACAACCCCATGAGGCAGACAAGCTTTGATTTTGTCTCGATGAAGAGATTAAGCCCCTGTGACCTATCTAAAATCACAAAACTAGTTACGGGTAGAACTTAGGTTTTAATCTAATTTATCTGACTTCCAAAACCAGTGCTTAGTTTAAGAAAATTATTTATTTTCGTTTATTTAATAAGTATTAAATTCTTATAAAAGAACATCTTTCTTAAAGAATACTTATTAAGAACAAGTCTAACATGTCTTCACCTTCACTTAATATTTTAGGGATGTCTACATACCTCTTTCATATGCTCAAAGCAATGAACTATCGCAGGAATTTAATACAGTTTTCGGTTTTTTATTTATTTTTTTTTTTTTGAGATGGAATCTCACTCTGTCTTTAGGCTGGAGTGCAGTGGTGCAATCTCAGCTCACTGCAACCTCCATCTCCCAGGTTCAAGTAATTTTCCCTGCCTCAGGCTCCCCCAGTAGCTGGGATAACAGGCATGGGCCACCACACCCAGCTAATTTTTTTGTATTTTTAGTGGAGACGGGGTTTCACCATGTTGGCCAGACTGGTCTCGAACTCCTGACCTCAAATGATCCACCTGCATTGGCCTCCCAAAGTGCTAGGACCACAGGCATGGACCACCACGCCTAGCCAAATAAAGTCAGTTTTCATGAACATAGGTTCATAACTGTTTTTATACAGTTGTTATTAATCAACAGGAAATTATAAGGCAGACTGCATTTACTCTTCAAAACTTTTCTGGAACTGAGTGGATCTTGAAAATAAAAGTTATTATTTCAAAGATTATTGTAGATCTTCTAAATTCTGTTTTTTAATTCCTTACTTTTAATCATAAAGTATACCATCTATTTGAAAACAGGTATACCACATAAAATGTGTCTACCTCACAGGGTTGCTATATAATGTGAAGAACAATGCTTTACACATCGTAAGTATGCAATAAATGTCATCACTGCCTTGATTTGTTTAGCACCTTTAGGCACATCAAAGAATACAGGAGTGTCAGTTGAGTTTTCTCATTCAGTATAACTCATAGTTCTCCTCCTTAAATAGATTATGTTTAGGAATTAATGAGCTTCTGCCAGCTGAAAGCTTTTGATAGATAGATGGTTGGTTCCTGGGCAATGGGCCCATCACAGTGCCTAAGTCAGTTACACTACCATCTTCTAGCCTTGAACATTCTGTAATCTATTCTGAAAGATTTGACAACTGCTCTTCTCTAATTTTCTTGCCTACGGTTTGACAGGTACACAATAACTTTTCATTTCCATGCTGCATTATAGGATAACCTTTTGAAGACATTTTAAATGACAATTAGAGATCTTTATGAGTTAAAATTCACCAGTGTTATCAATGTGAAAGTAACTGAACTAAAGTGACAATAAAATGAATAGATGCCTTATACTGATAGCTAAGTTCTAATATATGCAGACAGTGATAACTGAGGCACACCATAGTTCTCTGCTGCTGCCTGGCAAATTTCTTTAGACACTGACAAGATTCATCCTAATTTCAGAACAGGTAATGTGACAAAATTTTACAATCAATGAAATATGGTATTTAACTGTTTGTGAGAAAATAGGATCTTCCAAGTGAATTTGATAATCTTTTGTTCTTTCCAATGCTGCATTTAACAATAATAAAACTGTTGGGATACAAAAACCAAAAGTTCACATTTATTGTATAAATAGGGTTCTTTTTCATATAGTGATAACCTAATCAGTGTCATTTTCTTCATAGAACTACTTTCTTCTTTCTTCTTCAATGGATAAAACAGTCAGATTATGGCACATTTCTAGAAGAGAATGCCTTTGCTGTTTTCAACATATAGATTTTGTCACTGCCATAGCTTTCCATCCAAGAGTAAGTAACTGTTTATACGTGTTTTTGTTACCCTCTAAGGAAGGTGAGAAAACCTGGTTTCTCTAGAGGGCAATTGGATTACAGGGAAAAAAATTATTAACAGCTACTTAGTTATGAGCAATTTAATTTTGTGTTTCATTTTGCTTTAGAAATGAGAAAGGAAATATTCTGCTGATCTGCAGTAGAAAAACTGGGGATGTTATGTTCTAAATGTAACAGTAAAAAGTTATCCTAAATCTTTATTAAGACATGCAAAGTATAAATAATGAAATTAAGTATCCTGTTAAAGATGAGAGATATTGCAGATGGAGGAAGAAGAGACAGCAGATGGATAAATGAGAAAGGGAAGTACCTCAGCAGAAATAGAAGGCTGGGGAGGGAAGAGACAGAGGAAGAAACTGAAAGAGGCAAAGATCAAAATTCATTACAAGATATACTGAATTTGTATTGTTAGTCTTGATATCTCTTCTTTATTCCTTTTCAGTATGAAAATCATTTCATATCTTTCCCCCCAAAAGCAAGTATTTCATATGATTTCAACCAAAGGAGAAAAATCTGCTGCCGAATTGCAGACCTATTATATGCCCTTAGAGGATAGAGCCACCAAATGCTTAAGGCTAAATTAGTTATAGTTTTTTGCAACTGTAAGCAAAAAGGAAATCACATGTTGGTGCTGACTACACTAGCTCGATTAAAATAAGCAGAGGTCTCAAGCTGACCCTAGCGACAAGTTTCCCTCACCTATGTTGATGTTATGATCACATTTCCAGTGGTGTCCTGAACTTTATATGTTTAACACCCATTATCTTTTAAATGTAACATTTTAATCATATTCACATTTCTTCATCTTTTCCCTCAGATGAAGGAGAAGACTGACTTGTTTTCAATATGCTTTCCTTCCCTGAGTAGGCTTATAACATAAGCAGTGATAATTCTGAACCCTTAGAAGACTTGGTTAAAGTTTTTTTTTTTGTTTTTGTTTTTTTTTTTTTTTTTTGAAATTTACAAACATTTAATCTAGGCCAGACATGGCGGCTCACGCCTATAATCCCAGCACTTTGGAAGGCTGAGGTGGGAGGATGGCTTAAGGCTAGGAGTTCAAGACCAACCTGGGCAACACAGTGAGACTCCACCTCTTATCTCTCTCTCTCTCTCTCTCTCTCTCTCACACACACACACACACACACACACACACACACACACACACCCCAAATTATGTTAATACTTACCGGTTTTGATGATCAAGTCATTAGAGTCTTCTTTCTGAAAAACACCCCCATCCCTGTCCCCTATACATATAACAAAAGGATGCATTTACCCCATCAGCCACTGTGAGCAAAATCTTTCTATCCATAAATCTTTCCTAACTCTATTTTAACTGTAAAGTATCAGGGTGGAAAGAGATATTTGGTTGTGATCGTTTTCTTTCTCATTCTTTTCTTTTTTGTTTGAGACAGGGTCTCACTTTATCACCCAAGCTATAATTAAGTGGTGCCGTCTTGTCTCACTCCCACCTCAACTTCCCAGGCTCAAGCGATCCTCCTGACTCAGCTCCCCAGGTAGCTGGGACTACAGGCGTGCACCACTATGCCTGGATAATTTTTGTATTTTTAGTAGAGACAGGGTATTGTCATGTTGCTCAGGCTGGTCTCAGATTCCTGGACTCCAGCAATCTGCCCACCTCAGCCTCCCAAAGTGCTGAGATTACAAGCCTGAGCCACCACACCCATCTGATTGTTTTCCATGCAGTATTTTATTATTTATTAAAGTTTCTGTTCAGCCAGTTTTTTTTGTTGGTATTTTTTTTTTGAGAGAGTCTCTAGGCTGGAGTGCAGTGGTGCAATCTCAGCTCACTGCAACCTCAGCCTCCCGTGTTCAAGCAATTCGATCTCAGCCTCCCGAGTAGCTGGGATGACAGACATGCACCACCACACCCAGTTAATTTTTGTATTTTTAGTAGAGACAGAGTTTCACCATGTTGGCCAGGCTGGTCTCCAACTCCTGACCTCAAGTGATCCACCCACCTTGACCTCACAAAGTGCTGGGATTACAGGCATGAGCCACTGCACCCAGCCCAGCCAATGATTTTTCACAGTGCTTTTATTTGGTTTTATTTTGGAAACTATAAAGCCCTATTTCTAAAAATTTTACTGACCTGGAGTGTTTTTAAGAAGGGCTGGGATTAGCCAGGCATGGTGGCGCATGCCTGTAATCCCAGCTACTTGGGAGGCTGAGGCAGGAGAATCTCTTGAACCTGGGAGGCGGAGGTTGCAGTAAGCCGAGATTGTGCCATTGCACTCCAGCCTGGGCAACAAGCAAAACTGCTCAAAAAAAAAAAAAAAAAAAAAAGCAGTGGTGGCAGGGGAGCTGGGAAAGAATGGGGTAGTGATGAGGTTTTTTTTAGGAAATAATATGACTCTTACTATAATGTCAAAGGAAGCAAAGTAGCAGAGGTATAAAAGAAATAGCAAAACAGGCTGGGCATGGTGGCTCACGCCTGTAACCCCAGCACTTTGGGAAGCTAAGGAAGGTGGATCACCCGAGGTCAGGAGTTCAAGACCAGCCTGGCCAACATGGTGAAAACCCATCTCTAATAAAAAGACAAAAATTAGCTGGGCATGGTGGTGCATACCTATAATTCCGTCTACTCAGGAGCCTGAGGCAGGAGAATTGCTTGAGCCCCGGGAAGTGGAGGTTACAGTGAGCCAAAATCCCGCCGTGTAGCAAAATGGAGATACACACACACACACACACACACACACACATATGTAAAAATTCTGAATTAGAAGACTAAGGTAAAGTATTTTTACACGTTCGGCGCGTCTACTGGCAGACATTGAATAGAGCCTACTATACCATAACCACGGAAATGTCCATCATTTATAGCTTGTCTTTGACAGGTTTCAGAGATAGGTAAGAATAATAATCTTTTGCAAAGAACAGAAACTCTTAGGGTGGAGGGAAAGGGGGAAAAAAAGAATAATCTTGGCTGGGTATGGTGGCTCACTCCTATAATCCCAGCACTTTGGGAGTTTGAGGAAGGAGGATCACTTGAGGCCAGGAGTTCGAGACCAGCCTGAGCAACGTAGGGAGACCCCATTTCTTCCTTTCTTTCTTTTTTTTTTAGATGGAGTTTCGCGTGCTTATTGCCAGGCTGGAGTGCAATGGCATGATCTTGGCTCACCGAAACCTCTGCCTCCCAGGCTCAAGCGATTCTCCTGCCTCAGCCTCCTGAGTAGCTAGGATTACAGGCATGCACCACCATGCCCAGCTAATTTTGTGTTTTTAATAGAGATGGGATTTCTCCATGTTGGTCAGGCTGGTCTCAAACTGCCGACCTCAGGTTATCCACTTGCCTCCGCCTCCCAAAGTGCTGGGATTAGAGGTGTAAGCCACAGCACCCGGCCAGGGAGACCCCATTTCTATGAAAATTTTAAACATTAGCCAGGTATGGTGTTGTGTTTCTTTTATCCCAACTACTTGGGAGGCTGAGGTGAGAGGATCACTTGAGCCCAGGAGGTTGAGGCTGCAGTAAGCCGTGATCAAGCCTCTGTACTCCAGCCTGGGCAACAAACAGAGACCCTATCACCAAAAAAAATACATGTATATATATATATATATCTTATCTTGCCAAAATCAAAACAAGCTTAGTGGTAGGACTGATTTAGTTTAAAGCAGGTGTCTCAACCCTAGTACTATTGACATTCTTTGTTATAGGAGGAGAGAAGGCTGTGCATTATAGGATCTTTAGCAGCATCTGGCCTCTCTACCCACTAGATGCTGATAGCATCCTGATCCTCCCACCAGTTGTGACAACCAAAATGTCTCCAGATAATGCCAGATGTCCCCTGTGTGATCAAATTGCCGCAGGTTGAAAATCCCTGGTTTGAGAGCACAATTTGAATAATGAATAATGAAGCAATTATCTGTTGACATGGTGTTAGAGTTCCAAAAATGACTGGTTTTGGGGGCCACTAACCGATGTTGCTCTTTTATCCAAGCATTACATGTATCCTAGAGGAAGGTATAATATACGATAGATTTCCCATAGCATGTTCCTGAAAGGTGTAGCACCACCCCTAACACGCCCCCCCCCCAAAAAGGTCTGTGGTTAAATATGTCAAAAAATGCTACCTACTTTATCCTCTTTTTGGAGGTTCAGAATGCAGGTTAACTGAGAATCATGTTTAACTTTCTGTTACCCAGAATTTCTCAAAGTTACTTGATCACAGAACCTTCTTCCATACACTACACACTCAAACACATTATCTGTTACCATCCGTATCTTGTGAAAGGCAGTTTAAGGATATGATTAAGTGATTAGAACCTTATTTCTGAAAAATGAATAGTGAGGTTTCTAATTGTTGTTACTGCTTTTGGTGCATAAAATAATGCTTGCTTAAAGAATAGTAATTTTTAAATGAAATTTTTTTTTTTTGATGGAAGTCTGTCGCCAAACTGGAATGCAGTGGCACGATCTCAGCTCAGTGCAACCTCCGCCTCCCAGGTTCAAGTGATTCTCCTGCCTCAGTCTCCCTAGTAGCTAGGACAACAGGCACGTGCCAGCATGCCTAATTTTTGTATTTTTAGTAGAGATGGGGTTTCACCCTGTTGGCTAGGATGGTCTCGATATCTTGACCTTGTGACTCACCCACCTCAGCCTCCTATAGTGCTGGGATTACAGGCATGAGCCACTACACCCGGCCCTGAAATCTGCATTTTTAAACTATTATAATAGACTTACTGATTTAATATGCTAATGAGTTTTTTCTTGATGGGGTAAAATGGAAGCTTTCTCTTTTGCCACCTTTTTAGGATGACAGGTATTTTCTAAGTGGGTCGTTGGATGGAAAGCTCCGCCTTTGGAACATACCTGACAAAAAAGTGGCTTTGTGGAATGAAGTAGATGGTCAGACGAAATTAATCACAGCTGCAAATTTCTGTCAAAATGGCAAATATGCGGTGATTGGGACATATGATGGCAGATGTATTTTCTATGATACAGAGGTAAATGATTGTTTTCTGTAAATTATATAATTTTATACTTAGTAAACACTTTCGTGATTTTGGACAAGTTGTTTATCCCCTCTGAGCTTTAACTGCATTTTCTCTAAATTGGGACAAATAATACCATGTCTGTCTTAAGAGTTGGAACAGATGACTTTTGAGATTTCTTCTAATTTGAATTTTTTTTAAAAAAATTTTTTTGAGATGGAGTCTCACTCTGTCACCCAGGATGGAGTGCAGTGGAGCTATCTCGGCTTACTATAACCTCCGCCTCCCGGATTCAAGTGATTCTTGTGCCTCAGCTCCCCAAGTAGCTGAGACTACAGGCACATGCCACCGCACCCAGCTAAATTTTGTAGTTTTTGGTAGAGACAGGATTTCACCATGTTGGCCAGACTGGTCTTGAACTCCTGACCTCAAGTGATTCACCTGCCTCAGCCTCCCAAAGTGCTGGGATTACAGGTGTGAGCCACCACTTCCAAGCAAAAAGAATTCTTTTATAGAGAGAAAGTCTTACCCTGTCACCCAAGTTAAAGTATAGTGGTGCAATTATTGGCTCACTACAGCCTCAAACTCTTGGGCTCAAGCAATTCTCCTGCCTTAGCCTCCTGAGTAGCTAGAATTACAGATGCAAGCCACCACACATGCTCCTAATTCTAATATGTTAAATGTACGATTTATTTTTAGCATTTGAAATACCATACACAAATACATGTCCGATCTACTAGAGGGCGCAACAAAGTTGGAAGAAAAATTACTGGCATTGAGCCTTTACCTGGAGAAAATAAGGTACTACAGTATTCAAAACCATGTCTCTCTATACTATATACCTAGATTCTTGAAAGTTAGTTATTAATATCTTGGCAAAAAATGTATTCTTTTTCTTGTAGAATACTACTTTTTCTAGTTTTGGGGTACATTTGTATGTGTGTAACACCCTTTTTGGGTTGTAGCTTAACTTGTATTAAAAGATGATATTTTTAACTTTTCATTTGATCTATTTTTAGATATTGGTAACCTCAAATGACTCCAGAATCAGACTATATGATTTGAGAGATTTGTCACTCTCCATGAAGTATAAGGGTTACGTCAATAGCAGCAGCCAGATCAAAGCAAGTTTCAGGTAAATTGGCAATGAGATATTCCCAAAAGAGATCAGAACATTTCTCCCGTACTTCAGTTTTTCCATTGGTCTATGCCTTATGTTTAATGGAGTTTTTCTTTTCACTTTTGCAACTGGTATTTTATTATCATGCAATACTTTACCTTGTCCACCTATATAATCTATAGGATTAGAATTTCCCCCTTTCCGCAGATAAAGAAACCAAGACTCAGAAAATTAAGTGATTGGCCTAAAGTCATAGTTGTAGAGCCAGGATTAGAAAACTCTCATCTCTAAAGTTTTTGCTTTTGTACCTTTGTTTATGCTTTTAAGAGGGGGCTCATTCTGCCACTCCCCTCCCTGCCACATTGTCTTGAACCTTTTAGGAAAGGAAGGAACCTTTTAGGACACTAAGAAAGCATTTTAACACTACACAGCCCAGTGTCCTCTATTCAAAACTTTACATATCATTGTTACTTAAATTTCTAATTTGGGGCCAGACGAGGTGTTTCACACCTGTAATCCCAGTACTTTGGGAGGCAGACGGATCACCTGAGGTTGGGAGTTCCAGACCAGCCTGACCAACATGGAGAAACCCCGCCTCTACTAAAAATACAAACTTAGCTGGACATGGTGGTGCATGCCTGTAATCCCAGCTACTCGGGAGGCTGAGGCAGTAGAATCACTTGAACCCAGGAGGTGGAGGTTGCGGTGAGCTAATATCACACCATTGCACTCCAGCCTAGGCAACAAGAGCGTAACTCTGTGTCAAAAAAAGGGGAGCGGGGGCGGGCACAGTGGCTCACGCCTGTAATCCCAGCACTTTGGCACTTTGGAAGGCCTAGGCAAGTAGATCACAAGGTGAAGAGATCGAGACCATCCTGGCCTGCATGGTGAAGCCCTGTCTCTACTAAAAATACAAAAATTAACTGGGTGTGGTGACACGTGCCTGTAGTCCTCGCTACTTAGGAGGCTGAGGCAGGAGAATTGCTTGAACCCCAGAGGCGGAGGTTGCAGTGAGTCGAGATTGTGCCACTGTACTCCAACCTGGCAACAGAGCGAGACTCTTGTCTCAAAAAAAAAAAGAAAAAAAGGAAAAAGAAAATTTTGGGTTCTGGACACTCTCCTGAAATTGGGTTAGCTGTCTTTTCTTCTTTCTAGCCCTCTTCTTTCAGCGCTTCTCTTACCAATTCTTCTTTTTTCTTGAATTTTACAGTAATTACCCAGTAATTCAACTGGTAAAGTATTCTGCTTCTGTCTTTCACACCTTAAATTAACATTCCTCCCAACGTAAATTAACTAACATCATAGTTACCTAGAGCATTGATGCAAATACAAGTACCAGGCCACTACCTCATACTTACACATTTAGAACATCTTGAGTGACACCATGAGTCTACGTATTCGACAAGATCCTTCGTGTGTTATTTTAGGTATCACAAAGTACGAAGCACTGATAAAGGAAACCTTTAAACATACACACTCACATTTTACTTGTTTTTTTCTTTCTTCCCCAAATTCAGCCATGATTTTACTTACCTCGTTAGTGGTTCAGAAGATAAGTATGTTTACATATGGAGTACTTACCATGACCTAAGCAAGTTTACTTCAGTCAGGAGAGATCGTAATGACTTCTGGGAAGGTATTAAAGGTAAGTAAATACTTGCTTTTGTGTGTCTTATAAGAGAATCAGTTTAAAGTGGATATGTACTAAAGGAAATTCATTTAGGCATTATTTTAGAGAGGCAGTTTGACAGTGATAAACTGCTTTGCATTTGGCTTTGCTTGTTTGATTTATCTATATTAAGGAAGAACTTTGGTCTAAAATTTGAGAAATCAGGGAATTTCATAACTTATATGTGACATTTTTTTAGAAAATATTTTTGAGTTTTAAATCACTCGGAGTTACTTCTATGTTAGTTTTTAAGGATATTTGGTATATAACATACACTGTCGTGTTTATCTTGATGTTTGGTATTCCATTTTCAATTATCTTGAAGTAAATTTTTTCCACAGCCCACAATGCAGTTGTTACATCAGCCATCTTTGCTCCAAACCCAAGTTTGATGTTATCTTTGGATGTGCAATCTGAAAAATCAGAAGGGAATGAGAAAAGTGAAGATGCTGAAGTTTTGGATGCCACACCTTCTGGTAAATCTTTATTTGTCCTATATTTTTTCTAGTCAGCACTTAGTAGCCTGATTTATCTCATGTCAGTATAATGAGGTTTTCACTAGTATAAAGAATATTTCTTTTTTCTTTTTTCTTAAGGCAGGGTCTTGCTCTGTCATCCAGGCTGGAGTGCAGTGGTGCAGTCACAGCTCACTGCAGCCTCAACTTCCCTGAACTCAGGTGATCCTTCCACCTCAGCCTCCTGAGTATCTGAGACTACAGGCCTATGCCACCATGCCCAGCTAATTTTTGTATTTTTTGTGGAGATGGGGTTTCACCATGTCTCCCAGGCTGGTCTCAAACTTCTGGGCTCAAGAAATCCACCCGACTTAGCCTCCCAAAGTGCTGGGATTACAGGTGTGAGCCACCAAAGAATATTTCTTGTTTGCCACTTAATGGTTGTCAGATATCCATTTCTGAACATGTCAGTAACATATTTCCTGAAAGTTTTATTTCTTTTACATTCACCTGAGAATTAAAAATGAAAAATTTGGATGTTTGTAACTATTTATAGGTAACCATTCTCTTTAGAGAAGTGCAAACAATATATACAAATATAAACCTTCTTTATTATCTGTCTCTTCTACTCGTCTGTAATCTCTAGAAGACAGACAGTTTTCATGTCTTATTTATTGCTGTATTGCCAGTGTCTTACACAGTGCTTGCCTACATATAGTAGGTGCTTAATGAACAGCTGTCTTATGAAATGAACTAAACCCAAATGAAGCAGGGCTAATTTTTCTACTTGCCGCAACTTAACAGTTTCTCGAGATAAGTGGCTGTTTACAAGTTTGTATCTTTTTAGTAGAGACAGGGTTTCAACATGTTGGCCAGGCTGGTCTTGAACTACAAATTTCTTGCCATTTGTAGCATATGCTTTGAGAATGAGTATTAATTCCAGTTTTACAAAGTGCTCATATTAGAAAGGAAGAAGAAACTCAACAAGTAATATTGAGTGCCAATCAGTTATATAAAAATCTGTAGTAGTTCTGCTAGTCCTTAAGAGTATGGTAAGACTATGAAAATTTGGGCCAATTGTTAGTGAAAACAAGTTTGTATTGTGAATACCAATCGTGGCTGAGCATGGTGGCTCATGGCTACAATCTCAGCACTTTGGAAGACCAAAGTGAACAGATCGCTTGAGATCAAGAGTACAAGGCCAGCCTGGCCAACATGTTGAAACCCCGTCTCTACTAAAAATACAATAAGTAGCCAGGTGTGGTGGCACACGCCTGTAATCCCAGCTACTCAGGAGGCTGAGGCAGAAGTGGTTGAACCCAGGAAAGTGGAGGTTTCAGTGGGCTGAGATCGTGCCACTACACTCTAGCCTGGGGGACACAGCAAGACTCTGTTTCAAAAAAAAAAAAAAGAAAGAAAATTTTTCCAGGCATTGTGGTGTGTACCTGTAATTCCAGGTACTTAGGAGGCTGAGGCAGGAGAATTGCTTTAATTTATATATATATATAAATTGTTTTTAATTTTTAAATCTATTACATAATAGTTTATTGAATGTATTGTCTCACACTACAAACAGGTCATAAAGCCACAAGAATAGATACAATATACAAAGAGTGCTTTTAAAGTATTTGAATGCTAAAAAGTTATCAAGTACTTTAATCTCAAGTAATTTTTCTTATAGTATTATTTACACTATCTACTCCACTCACTACACTATTCGTCTTTGAAGAAAAATTTTGATAACAAAGATGAACTTCAGTCTAGCACTTTTCAGTACAAGATACAAAAATAAACCAAGTTAGAATGATTAAACCTTTACTAAATGCCTATTTATGTTCTGTTTTTCTTTCCTTCTCAGAATCAAATCCAGCTTCCCTCTTCTAACTTAAGTCATTTAAGTTTTTCTTTCTTTTTAATTACCTTTGTTTGTTTGTAGGTAGGTAGGTATATATGTATGTATGTATGAATGAATGAATGAATGGATGAATGAATGAATGAGTCTCGCTCCTGGCTAGAGTACAGTGGTGCAGTCGTAGCTCACTGCAACCTTGAACTCCTGTCCTCAAGCAGTCTTCCTGCCTCAGCATCCTGAGTAGCTAGGACTACACGTACTACCATGCCTAGGTAATTTTTTTTTTTTTTTGCTTTTTGGTAGAGACAAGTTCTCATTATGTTGCCTGGGCTGGTCTCAAACTTCTAGCCTCCAAAAGGTTAGTCCTCCTACCATGGCCAAAGTGCTGAGATTACAGGCATGAACCATCACACGTGGCCTATTTTTTTTTCTTTTCTTTTTTCCCCAGTGCTACCTTTTTACATTCTATATACCTCCCCTGCACATTCCACAGGAAGTTCTAGCTTTTAAAACAATTTGAGGAAAAGTAAAAAATACAGTTTTTTTTTTTAACTTCTCAAAAATGTACCACTTTAACAAGGTTCAGTTAACTAACTGGGTCCTTTTTGAAGAGCCACAAATTTTAGTGGATTGTACTCAAGATTTGTGTTTGTCATTTGTACCCACGTAGGTGTAGTCTAAGAATAAACTCTCAGGCGAGGCATGGTGGCTCACGCCTGTAATCCCAGCACTTTGGGAGGCCAAGGCAGGCAGATCACGAAGTCAGGCGTTCAGGACCAGCCTGACCAACATGGTGAAACCCCGTCGCTACTAAAAATACAAAAATTAGCAGGGCTTGGCGGCCCATGCCTATAATCCTAGCCACTTGGGAGACTGAGGCAGGAGAATCGCTTGAACCTGGGAGGCGGAAGTTGCAGTGAACCGAGATCGCACCACTACACTCCAGTCTGGGCGACAGAGTGACACTGCATCTCAAAAAAAAGAAGAATAAACTCTGTCTTAAACCCAAAGTGTGGGATCAGAAAATACATCCAATTGCCCTCTTTCTTTGTTCCTGACATATTTAGCAATTTTAGCCGAAATTTTCCTTATGTGTAAAATGATAACCTAGTTTACAGGGTTTTAATAAGAATTAAATATGACATGTATAGGCTGGGCATGGTGGTTCATGCCTGTAACCCCAACATTTTGAGAGGCCAAGGCGGGAGGATCACTTGAGGCCAGGAGTTTGAGACCAGCCTGGAGAGCATAGCAAGACCCTGTCTCCACAAAAAATTAAATAACTAGCTGGGCACCGTGGTGTGTGCCTTAGGGAGGCTGAGTTGGAAGGATCCTTTGAGCCCAGGAGTGTGAAGTTACAAGTGAGCTATGATGGTGCCTCTGCATTCCAACCTGGTCAAAAGAGTGAGACTCTGTATCTAAATATATATATATATATATATATACTTGTATGTGTAAAACTGCCTGGCAAAATGCCAAGCGTGTCGTAGGCATTATTGTTATCATTTTCATTATTATTGTGTCCTACAAAGCATTTTATGTGTATGATGAATTCTTTTCTTCTCTATCCTTTCTCATATCCCTAAGTCCTCTTTGCTGCTGCTGCTGCTACTGCATAGCACTGCTATGAGATACACCAAAAGGGTGGTAAAGGAATGTTCAAAGGCTTAGGATATGTTTTTAGCACATCTAAGTGAAACCATTTTGTGTGACTCATCCTGTACACAACTTTCCAATTAAAGCTTGGATTATTTTCTTTTTTAAATCTCAAGTTAAAAATCTCAATTTTTACTTATGTATAGAGTTAGTTAACATTGAATTTGTTTATTAAATGTTTTTATGCAACTGGCAAATGTAAGAGGTAAGCATCTATGCCATTCAGCATAGTTATACAGCTTTACAGTAACCATATGGCAAAAGGTTCTGTCAGCATTCACACAGCGAATGTGTCTACTTCATTTCATGGCAGTTTCAGTGTGTCTGCTATACAAGAAACCTTACTGGCAACCTTGTTAGGCACCCCTGTTAGCAACAGACTTGCTAGCTGATCCCATTCTGCCAGAACTCTAGTCCTGGGGCTGAATGACACACTAGCTTCTTGCCATGCAATGAAGCATTAGATGACTTAGATGCCTAGGTTGCCTAGGAATAAATCCAAGCATCCAGGCCCCAAGAGACTATAATATCCTCAAGCCAGGGAAAGACCAGGTAAGACAAGGCAAGTGGAAGTGAGGAAAAGAGAGGAAAAGAGATTCAGCAGAATGAAAGAATTACAGGAGCCAGCCAGAAAAGGAGACTCAAAAGGTGGGGAGACGATCTTCTCCCCTGAAGGTGGAGGGTCATGGTCATATGATAATTGTGGCAGCAGATTTCATATTCCTTTACAAACCAACTTAAAACTTTTCTTTATGCTTTTAAGGTATTATGAAGACAGATAACACAGAAGTTCTTCTCTCTGCTGACTTCACTGGAGCAATCAAAGTGTTTATTAATAAAAGAAAAACTGTATCTTAATTTGAAATGACATTTAAAACAAACATATCAGTAAGTTTCTGTATGTATCAGAACTGAAAAAATATAGTGTTCCAGGCTAACATACTTTTTAAATTTTTATTGAAATTGTTCAAATATAATATATTTTTTGAGAGGCAGTGTTAATGATCTAGGAAACCCTGGGATGATAGAATAGAAAGGAATATGGCTAGAATAACATTGCCAGACATTAGGCTTTATGTTGTGTTTTGTTTGTGTTTTTGTTGTATAATTATGAACATGCACAGGTTTCTGCATGAAAAGATATTAATATATTAATCACATGTGTGTGCCTTTTGGTTACATGCATTAAATCTAACAGAGTTAAATTATTTCAGTGGCTCTTTTGGCCTCTTACTAGGGGAGATAGTCTTGTTTCTAGCTTAAACAATTTTTTTTTTTGCACAAAATTTCATTTTTAAGAAAAGTGGTATCTTTTGACTGAGTTATTGTTTTGAAAATGTTATATAGGTTTCCAATAGGTCAATAACCATGTGTAAATGGTTTTTATAAATTTCTCAATTTGGGGACAAGACTTTTTTGTGGTCTAAATTGTGGGCTTAAGATTCTTTCCTTTATATGTGTACATATAATTTTTTTTCTTTGCCACACTGGAGCACAATGTTTCTATGTAAAGAATTATTTTCATTCTTTATCCATGAGCACCAGGCTTTGCTCACTTAAAAAAAAAAATTAAGCCACATTAAGGAGTGAGTCTTCTTTTTTACAATAATGTAAAAATGAAACTGTTTACATTTTTTTAAAGCATTGTAGTTTTTAAAAATTAAGCTGTTTTGTTTTGTGTTGTTGAATTTGAAAGCCTTTGTAAATATCAATACAATGTACCAATGAAATAACATCTGGGGCAATGGAACCCTGATCATGTTGTTGATGGTTAGCATATGTTTCTGAAAATGAAATATGTATTATTAAAAGTTGGTCTCCAACACTTGTTTAAACATGGCTTTATTTTTAATTGACTTCAGTAAATGAAGGAATGCAAGAAAAATAAACTCTTGTTTTAATCGTTTAAATTTTAGCAAACAGAAGACCAGATTTTAGATCCCTAAATTATAATGCATTAGTTACATACCTTTAAACATTTTTTAATTCTAGCTTTAAATTGAACACGGCTAAGAATTCATCTATATGCTTATATGTTCCTTACTGCATTTGTTTTCAGCATGTAATTGAGAAGTTGCGGAGCCACGGTCATATCCTTGTTAATCTAGCATGGTCTTAGAGTGATCTGGGCTTTCTAGTAAATTACGTATTGTTTGCTGCTTTCTTCTTGCCAGTGCTGTGCCCTCTCCCTCTACCCTCCCCTCCCCTCCCTCCTCCCCTCCCCTCCCTCCTCCCCTCTCCTCATCTCTCTTTGGTTACTTTGGCTCCCTCATTCTCCTGTACTCTCCCTGACTGACTGAATTGTTATGCCATTGACGTTCTAAAATCCAGGCACAGTTTCTTTAGTCTCAGGGTCTGGGTGGCATTGTGATTGATCCAGTTTTTCGTTTTTGAACTTGATGTCTTCAATTCTTTGAGGCAGCTTGGCTTGTACTAGCTTCTGCCTGAGAACTTGTAGTCTGCTGTAGTGTTGTTTTAACTGCAGATAACCAGGGTATTATTATATGACTATCTCCTGATAGGTTTTATATGGTTACTTGAACAAAAAGACAAAACGAGTTAGGATGGAAGCTTAAAGGCATAATACTGACACTTGTTATTGCTATAAGAATACACTGAATATGAAAAGGTAGCATCAAAATATATAACCAAAAAATTGAACACTGTTTCTCTTTAAAATGACTATTAGATGGCCAGGCGCGGTGGCGCATGCGTGTAATCACAGCACTTTGGGAGGCCGAGGCGGATGGATCACAAGGTCAGGAGATCGAGACTAGCCTTACCAACATGATGAAACCCCATCTCTACTAAAAATAAAACAATGAGCCAGGTGTGATAGCATGCACCTGTAATCCCAGCTACTCAGGAGGATGAGGCAAGAGAATTGCTTGAATTGGGGAGGCAGAGGTTACAGTGAACCAAGATTGCACCATCAGTGCATTCCAGCCTGAACAAGAGTGAAACGCCCTCTCAAAAAAAAAAAAAAAAAAAGACTACTAGATATTCTCTATACTAAGTGATATGGTATTATTAAAAAGAGCACAGGTTCTAGAGTCAGGTAAACTTGGATTTGCTTCCCTCCCGTTAGCACATTACTTGGGCAAGTTATTTGTCCTATATTACTAGTACTTTCTTATCTGTAATATGCGAATGCCTAACTTAAATTGCAAAGATTTGCTAAGAAATCATGTACATGTGAAGCTTCGTGCCTAACCAGTAGGTATACTCAACAGATGTACGTTTCTTTTTTTTTTTTTTTTTTTTTTATTCATGTTCTGGGGTACATATACAGATCTTGCAGGATTGTAGCCTAGGTACACACGTGCCATGGTGGTTTGCTGTCTCCATCCCTCCATCACCTACATCAGGCATTTCTCCCAGTGTTATCCCTCCCCAACCTCCCTGCCCCACTCTGTCCCTCCCCTAGCCCACCACCCCCCAACATACCCCAGTGTATGATGTTCCCCTCCCTGTGCCCATGTGTTCTCATTGTTCAACATGCGCCTATGAGTGAGAACATGCAGTGTTTGGTTTTCTGTTCTTGTGTCAGTTTGCTGAGAATGCTGGTTTCCAGTTTCATCCATGTCCCTACAAAGGACACGAACCCATCATTTTTTATGGCTGTATAGTATTCCATGGTGTATATGTGCCACATTTTCTTTGTCCAGTCTGTCATTGATGGGCATTTGGGTTGGTTCCAGGTCTTTGCTATTGTAAACAGTGCTGCAGTAAACATAGGTGTGCATGTGTCTTTATAATAGAATGATTTATAATCCTTTGGGTGTATACCCAGTAATGGGATTGCTGGGTCAATTGGAATTTCTATTTCTAGATCCTTGAGGAATCGCCATACTGTCTTCCACAATGGTTGAACTAATTTACACTCCCACCAACAGTGTAAAAGTGTTCCTATTTCTCCATATCCTCTCCAGTATCTGTTGTCTTCAGATTTTTTGATGATCGCCATTCTAACTGGCATGAGATGGTATCTCAATGTGGTTTTGATTTGCATTTCTCTAATGACCAGTGATGATGAGCATTTTTTCATACATTTGTTGGCCTCATATATGTCTTCTTTTGAAAACTGTTCATATCTCTCGTCCACTTTTGAATGTTTTTGTTTTTTTTCTTCTTGTAAATCTGTTTTAGTTCTTTGTAGATTCTGGATATTAGCCCTTTATCAGATGGGTAGATTGCAAAAATTTTTTCCCATTCTGTTGGTTGCCAGTTCACTCTAATGATTGTTTTTGTTTGTTTGTTTGTTTTTGTTTGTTTTTGCTGTGCAGAAATTTTTAAGTTTAATTAGATACCATTTGTCTATTTTGGCTTTTTTTGCCATTGCTTTTGGTGTTTTAGTCATGAAGTTCTTGCCTATGCCTATGTCCTGAATGGTTTTGCCTAGGTTTTATTCTAGGGTTTTTATGGTGTTAGGTCTTATGTTTAAATCTTTAATCCTTCTGGAGTTAATTTTAGTGTAAGGTGTCAGGAAGGGGTCCAGTTTCTGCTTTCTGCACATGGCTAGCCAGTTTTCCCAACACCATTTGTTAAACAGGTAATCCTTTCCCTATTGCTTGTTTTTGTCAGATTTGTCAAAGATTAGATGGTTGTGGATGTGTGGCATTGCTTCTGAGGCCTCTGTTCTGTTCCATTGGTCTATATCTCTGTTTTGGTACCAGTACCATGCTGTTTTGATTACTGTAGCCTTGTAGTATAGTTCAAAGTCAGGTAACGTGATGCTTCCAGCGTTGTCCTTTTTGCTTAGGATTGTCTTGGCTACGCGGGCTCTCTTTTGTTCCATATGAAGATTAAAGTTTTTTTCCAGTTCTGTGAAGAAGGTCATTGGTAGCTTGATGGAGATAGCATTGAATCTATACTTTGGGCAGTATGGCCATTTTCATGATGTTGATTCTTTCTAACAATGAGCATGGAACGTTTTTCATCTGTGTCCTCTCTTACTTCCTTGAGCAGTGGTTTGTAGTTCTCCTTGAAGAGGTCCTTTACATCCTTTGTTAGTTGTATTCCTAGGTATTTTATTCCCTTTGTAGCAATTGTGAATGGAAGTTCGCTCTTGATTTGGCTTTCTGTTTGTTATTAGTGTATAGGAATCCTTGTGATTTCTGCACATTGATTTTTGTATCCTAAGACCTTGCTGAAGTTGCTTATCAGTTTAAGATTTTGGGCTGTGATGATGGGGTCTACTAAATATACAATCATGTCATCTGCAAATAGAGACAATTTGATTTCCTGTTTTCCTAATTGAATACCCTTTATTCCTTTTTCTTGCCTGATTGCTCTGGCTAGAACTTCCAATACTGTATTGAATAGGAGTGGTGAGAGAAGGCATCCTTGTCTAGTGCCAGATTTCAAAGGAAATGCTTCCAGTTTTTGCCCATTCAGTATGATACTGGCTGTGGGTTTGTCATAAATAGCTTTTATTATTTTGAGATACGTTCCATCAATACCTAGTTTATTGAGGGTTTTTAGCATAAAGGGCTGTTAAATTTTGTCGAAAGCCTTCTCTGCATCTATTGAGATGATCATGTGGTTTTTGCCCTTGATTCTGTTTATGTGATGGGTTATATTTATAGGTACATATGTTGAACCAGCCTTGCATCCCCAGGATGAAGCCTGCTTGATCGTGATGGATAAGCTTTTTGATGTGCTGTTGCAGTTGTCTTGCCAGTATTTTATTGAAGATCTTTGCATCGATGTTCATCATGGATATTGGCCTGAAGTTTTCTCTTAGTTGAGTCTCTGCCGGGTTTTGGTATTAGGATGATGTTGGTCTCATAAAATGAGTTAGGGAAAATTCCCTCTTTTTGTATTGTTTGGAATAGTTTCAGAAGGACTGGTACCAGGTCCTCTTTGTATGTTTGGTAGAATATTCAGCTGTGAACCTGTCTGGACCTGGGCTTTTTTTGGTTGGTAGGCTATTCATTGCTGCCTCAACTTCAGCCCTTTTTATTGGTCTATTCAGGGTTTCAGCTTCTTCCTGGTTTAGTCTTGGGAGGGTGCAAGTGTCCAGGAATTTATCCATTTCTTCGAGGTTTACTGGTTTATGTGCATAGAGTTGTTTGTAGTAATCTCTGATGGTAGTTTATATTTCTGAGGAATCGGTCGTGATATCCCCTTTATCATTTTTTATTGCATCTATTTGGTTCTTCTCTCTTTTCTTTTTTATTAGTCTGGTTAGCAATCTAGTTTGTTGATCTTTTCAAAAAAACAGCTTCTGGATTTATTGATTTTTTGAAGCGTTTTTTGTGTCTCTATCTCCTTCAGTTCTGCTCTGATCTTAGTTATTTCTTGTCTTCTGCTAGCTTTTGAGTTTTTTTGATCTTGCTCCTTTAGCTCTTTCAATTTTGATGATAGGGTGTCAATTTTAGATCTTTCCTTGCTTCTCATGTGGGCATTTATTGCTATAAATTTCCTTCTAGACACTGCTTTAATGTGTCCCAGAGATTCTGGTACGTTGTGTCCGTTCTCAGTGGTTTTGAAGAGCATCTTTATTTCCACCTTCATTTCATTGTTTATCCAGTTGTCATTCAGGAGTCAGTTGTTCAGTTTCCATGTAGTTGTGTGATTTTGAGTGAGTTTCTTAATCCTGAGTTCTAATTTGATTGCACTGTGGTCTGAGAGACTGGTTGTTATGATTTCTGTTATTTTGCATTTGCTGAGGAGTGATTTACTTCCAATTATGTGGTCAATTTTAGAGTAAGTGTGATGTGGTGCTAAGAAGAATGTATATTCTATGGATTTGGGGTGGAGAGTTCTGTAGGTGTCTATTAGGTCTGCTTGGTCCAGATCTGCGTTCAAGTCCTGGATATCCTTGTTGATT